TCCCAGAAGCCTTCACCACTAGTTGCAGAGGCCAGGGTTTCTGGGAGTTGTAGTCCAAGGACTAGTGGGAGGGCGCTCTCTGCTCCTTCATCAATCCATGCCTTCAGGAAACTCTTTACTTAGCAAGGGCTAGATCACTGGTTCTTAACCTTGGGTTACTTAGGAGTTTTGGACTGCAACTCCCAGAAGCCTTCCCCACCAACTGTGCTGGCTGGGGTTTCTGGGAGTTGCAGTTCAAAAACATCCGAGTAACAAAGGTTAAGAACCACTGGGCTAGATAACAAAAGACAGTAACCAAAAGATGGGTTACTTGTGTGCTACATACTAAGGAACAACTATGGTTTTGAGGCCCTGATCCGTGATTGTCTCTACTGTGAAGCCAGTGTTGATAGATAAATTACCAAGTTAAGAAGTCCATCGGTCTGAGCCTGGAAAATTATATTCCATCAGTAATTCATTTCAGTTACTCAATGTTTGAAAAGTAACCCATTGTCTTTACTTATGATGATTTTTTAAAAAAAAAAACAACAACAACACCCTATTCATTGCTGTTGGTTGTGGCACTGTTTTATTTTGAAACACATTTCATCAGTAATTCATTTCAGTTACTCATTAATGTTTGAAAAGTAACCCATTGTCATTACTTACGATGATTTTTTTAAAAACAACAACACCTTATTCATTGCTGTTGGTTGTGGCACTGTTTTATTTTGAAACAGGATTGATAAATATCACTTAAAAATGTGTTTTTAAAGTAGTTTTTGAAAGTAACTGGAAAAGTTGCTCACTACCCTAAAAAGGAACTTTGATCTTGTTAAGTTAGCTTTGAAATATAACATTGTGGTACTCTTGTTACAAAAAAGTAGCTAGACACAGGAGACTGTTTTGTAACACAAAAGGTTATTATTGTTTTGGGTTTTTTATTTCAAGCTCTGATCTGACCCAACATGTCAGTAATTTTAGAAGAGGTAGTTGTGTTAGTCTGTGCTAGCTCATCAGGCAAAAAAAAAGCAAAAAAACCCCAAACAAACAAGAAAATAAAGAAGACAAAAACACTGTGGCCATTAGACAAAAAGAAAGCAAACAACAACAACAACAACAAGAAAATAAAAAGTCAAAAACATTGTGGCACCTTAAAGACTAACTGCTATATTTAATGTGAGATTTCGTGGGTCAAGTCCACTTCTTCAGACTTATCCATGTCAGTAGTTATGGCTAGAACTGGGGTGGGGGGGTACTCTTTTTAAATTGCAGCTCCCAGAGTCCCCCGGGAGGCATGGATGATTCTGGGAATTGTAGTCCGAAAGTTAACTTCTCAAAGCTGTGATTCAGAACTTGAAAAACTACTTTCTAAAAATAATTAATTCTTTTTACTTATAACACTGTTTGAAAATCTGGTTATTATCACATCCGGGAGAGGCAAATTTAGGCTAGGGGGATTTATTTTGGTTTTCCCCCTTTGGGTATTAAAATCTCTCAGCTGATATTTAATATGTAGAGGAAATATGCCTGAAATCTGTTTGGAGTACTAGAAATCAATGGATTCTCCCCCACCCATAAATCTACTCCAACTTTCTTTGTTTCATGTTATAATTTAGGGCAGAAGAGTTATTTCATAATTGCTGTTACAGAAGAAAAGTAGTCTGTCCAGAGAGATACTGAGAGATAAAGATTTACATGTTGTCGCCCTACTAGTGATACAAATTCTGCTTTGATATGTTAGTTTTTAAGCTTTTTGAATAGCAGCATCTTTTAACCTTATGGGGAAGAGATGCATTTAGAAAGTAATCTGAATGAGATGTGTGCAGGATGGTGGCAGAGACAGAGAGGCAAATAAAATGCTTCTTTTATCTTTCTAGATCTCTGTGCAGATTGGTATTCTTAGGCTTCCATCCTTCCTTCAGATCGCTTCCTGTTTCTTCTTTTCCTAGTTAGAGAGAGAATATTTAATGGGTATCTCTGCACACTCTAAGTGCATAGAAGGCAGCTCTAGAGCTAGGGTAGATTAGCAGGGATGTGAAGCAGGGATGTGAAGTCTTCTAAATCCTAATCACACATCAACCATAATTCCATACTGGGTCCAGTAGGTGGGATATTAAGTGCATAGAAGCCAGCTCTAGAGCTAGGGTAGATTAGCAGGTATGTGAAGCCTGGTCTTCTAAATCCTAATCACACACCAACCACAATTCCATACTGGGTCCAGTAGGTGGGATATTTTTTTAGAAAAAGAGTATGTTGGAATGCAGAGTGAGAAGGGACCTTTGTGTTTTTTTCAGGGGGGGGTCAGGGTGGATCACAGTTATTTGCATATTTCTGCAAACAGATTTGTCCAATTTGAGCTGTCATTTTGCAGTTAATTTTTCCAAAACAATGCAAAATTCTATATGTAACTATTCACTGCAATCTCTCCCATGCCCTGTATCACTTTTGAGATGCTTTAATTTTTATTCATTTCATTAATTGATTAAAGGGAAAGCAGTGATGCTCAAAAAAAGAGTTAAATCACATAAGAAGTGAAATGTTAAAAACGGCAAATGCCGCTAAATGCAGCTCCCTTCTGGACTAGTTCCTTTTGAAGTTTCACTCAGAGCTGTTCTACAGTTTTACAGCAGATTTAACAGTTTGCAAGGGGAGTAAAGGGAGTGAATGGGTTGTACATTTAACAGAGGCAAGTCGGTAAAGTGATTTTTATTTAGTTAGAAAAATGGGAGACCGAATACGTTAAATCCTCTGTCAGACTAGAATGCAATTTTTCAACATTTTTTTTTCTTGGAAAAATCCTTTTATAATATGGAAAAAGGGAAGAAATATGTTAAATGATAACTCTTAAACTGATGCTGCCAAATTAAAAAGAGGGAGACGAAAAGAATGATAGCAGCCATATTAAATGAATAAAATCTATACTGCTTTTGCTGGCTAGGAATTAATGCAGCATTTCTTAGTTCTTGTTCACCTGTTAATATCCAATCATCCAATCATTTTAATTCAGTATTTGGACTCCGCAGCTCAACTAGGTGCATGGCTGGCTTTCGATCATCTTTGATTTGATTGAACTGGTTGCGGTGCTAGACTGGGGAGATCCTCTTTATAAAAGCGAACACTCAGAAAAGGATGCTGACCGCAACATTTCTTTGGATGCTGTTCGGATGGTGATGGGGGAGAATTGAACACCTCTGCCTTCCAAATGAATGCATTCCTAATAGGATGGATTTGCCCGTTGGCATGAAAGCAGAGGTCACCTGGAGGAAAATGACATCTAGGGTCTCCAGAAGTCATCTGCTTTAAGGGATCCTGGGCGGAAAGCCAAATATCGAATTAAGGAAACAACGTCCCAAATTTTTGCTGTTTGTTTAAAAACAACCCAGGAGTTAGGCAAAGAATGCATTTGGGCATCATAATCATTCACCCATCTTCAGATTATCTTCCTATGGTCTAATAAGTTTCACATGTTAAATCAGAACACATTTTAATACTCTAGTAAGTGCAGATGTTTAAAGATGTAATAAAGCCCTAATAATGTTGTATTAAAAAAAACCCTGCAATGGGCAGGTTTCTTTATGTGCTGTATAGGAATTTCTCAGTTAAATCTATCTTTTGTTCTGTTTCTTGTAATCCTTTTCTGTTTAAATCCTTATTTCTCACCCTGCTCTTAATATGCTACGGAAATGAATTTGTTTGCACATGTGATGGCTAATTGCATTTTTGCTGCTCTCTCTTCATCCATCACTGTGTTCATGAGGAAACCTTAAGTATATTATGGTTTCAGCTGCAGTTCATCACTGGTATATTGCAGAGCAGTGCCTTTGATTTTGATGGGATTACTCTTGAGTAAAAGTGGTTATGCACAGCACTTATAATGAGTACATATCAGGTTATCCTTTGTCTGATGTTGACACACGGATGCCTTGTAAATTATACCAGCCTGCAACCGTAGGAACACTCAGCTGTGAATAAGTCTTCTTGATCTCCCTTCTGCTCAGAGAAGCATTGAGTTCCTCTCTAGGTGGTGTGCTTATTTATCTTAAAATTTTGAATTTTAAGTAATGTTTCCAAGTTTGAGCTTTTACAGCAGGAGAAATTCAAGAAGAATCAGAGCCTCCATTTTTGTATTCCACTCCTACCTTTTTGTATTCCTCTCTTATCTTTTTGTATTCCTCTCCTATCTCTTTGTATTCCACTCATACCTAGAACATCGGAAACACTTCTCAACTGACATTTTTTTCTATACACACTGAAAAAAAGCATTTTATGATCAGAAAATTAATTCAAATAAATTATGACAAATGTATGAAGTGTTTAAGCTCCCACCATAGTAAAAAAAAAAGTGTTTTAGCTTTATTTTGCAGCTTGGGTCTTTTTTTCCTTTTTCCTTTCTTTCTTTTGGTTCCTCTTTGTATCTCATTGTTTTTAATATCTTATGTTTGAAAATGGTTCCATACAGTTTTGAGTTGAGATCCTATGGTAGGCTATAAATGCTGAAATAAATAAACAGACAACAAATAAGTAAATAAATGATGATGCAGTGGGGTTAAGACCCTTTTAATTAGGCAGGACGCAACTGTTCATGTGCATGGTTAAGGAGCAGAAGATGGCAATACATTTTAAATCATGCTTAATTTCACTGCCAGTATACTACTATGTAAGGAAATGGTTCAGATTATTTGTGAAGATTCCTAAATCTGTGGGCTAAATCTGATTTTGAGACACAGTTACATCAGATCCATTGAATGAATGGAACTCAAGTCAGCACTTACATGTGGATTCAATAGATCTGCTTTGGTCAGGACCAACAATGAGATTTATCTATAAAAGTGCCATGGAAAATATACTTACGGTACAAAATATTTACTACTAGAGGGAATTATCTTTGAGTAAGTGTGGATATGATTGTGATGACACCCATCTGTTTTATACAAGACTGGTATAGCTACACTTCTTTTTAAAAAATACTCTAATTATACCTTTTTTGTTGTTATTTTGCTATGTTTTCACTGAAATAGGTATCCAAGAGAATCTTCTACATCAGTGATGTGAGAATCCCTGTTACCTGGAGCCTGACAAGGTACAACTTGATTTAATTTTCCATTCTTAGGCGCTTTATTTATGTATTATTATTATTATGATTTAAAAAAACCTATCAGCTTGCATTATGATACTGGGGAAAAAGTGTTTTGAATACAGCTGAAATATTCCCATTGATTTGCCCCAAAGCTTTAAGAAGGCTGCAAAATTTTGTATCACATGGACAATATCTGTTGTTTATTTTCTCTTTGGCTGTGGCATAGAGGCCTTCTGCAGAGTGGCTAGCCTGTGTGATCTTTCGCAAATGTTGCCACTATGCAGGGTTTTTTTTTTGTGTGTGTGTGTTATGGAAATTTCATTCCATGAACAAGGGGTTTATAAGGCATAGGAACACTTCAAAGGATCTCAAGTCCTGGGAAATACCCTGTGTTACCCAGGAGACATCTATATCTGTTTGTGAAAAGTGTACCTTATCGGCTCCAGAACAATCAGGAGTAATCTCATTTAAATAAACATTGTGTTATTTTCTTTTCTGGTTTTTTTATCTATCGTTTGGGTTCTCAAAGGAAAAAAAGAGACTGTTCCAATGCAATGTGAGCAGATGTTAGGGAAAGCTATGAGCTGATCTCAGTTTTTTATTTACACCTTCTCCCCTCAACCATCCAGTCCTCTGATGGAGAAGAACATCTACCCCTCACTAGCCTTGAGAAGAAGAACATTTGCTTTTCTCTTTCCTTTCCTCTCAGAGTGGGCAGCTGTGGTCCTCCAGATCAGTGGTACCCAACCTTGGGCCTCCAGATGTTCTTGGCCTACAACTCCCATAAGCCTTCATCACCACTTCTGCTGGCCAGGATTTCTGGGAGCTGAAGTCCAAGAACATCTGGAGGCCCAAGGTTGGGGACCACTGCTTCAGATGGTTTCAGACTAAAACTTCCAGCAACCCTTACCATTGACTAAGTTGGCTAGGGCTGAGGGGAGTTGAATTCCAGCAACATTGGAGGACCACCTTGCCCACCCCTGTGGACTTTGGATGCAAAACTTTAGTGATGCTCCTCTCTGCTAGCTGGTAGGCACCATCCGCTCGCCTGACTTTGAGAGTCCAAATTATGGAATGTTTTAACTCTTCATATACTGTATATCCTAGAGAATAAATACCATTGCTATTTATCACAATTAATTCCTCTGGAACTTGCTCGAGGACAGTTTCGAATTTGCCATCTAGAATTCGGGAGAGGGCAGATAAGCGGAGAAGCATGGAAAAATAAAGGGAAGGTATTAAAAAAAAAAGAAAAAGCAGCAGGCATGTAGTTACTCCAATTATACACACTGAAAATTGGTTATAGGCTTACTCTCTTCCGCTGGCCCATGATCTCCCATGCCTTTCACAACAGACCATCCGCATGCAGCGTTCACTGTGTTTGCTAGGGTTGAGAGGCAACAATGGAAAAAGCTGTGTCTGTAGCATTTATGTGGGCTGCAAGGCACAGAATCATGCTGGGCGGAGGGTGGGCAGTAATATCAAGAAGAAATACTGGGAACTGCCATTTGGACGTATTGTGCTTTGCCTTGGGTTGGTGGGGTGTGGGAGAGCTTTGCTACAACTTCTGTTTAATTATAATGCTCAGTGCAGTTTTCTGTACGTGTGTGGGTGTCCTTCGTTTTCAGTATTCTTGGAAAAGTTCATCGTATTTTATTTAATGTTTCGGGATTCAGGGAAAAAGGATGTTTGTGTGTGTCTTTAATTAGCCCTGTCAAGATAAAGAATAAGGTGGCTTCATCAGGTGACAGATGCAGGGGGACTTTTAGATTTGAGCCAGGATTTGCCGGGATCAGAGCCCCAGGACTTTCTCATTAGCGGCAATTATGACTTTTTAAAACCACTTCTCCCAAGCTCCTCTTCCCCCCCCTGAAATCCTCACAGTAGCTGGGAGAGAAATGGATTTTCTCAGGAATGATGTATCGGACAAGCTATCCCTCTTGTCATGCTAAGTGTTTGAGAGTGTTTGGCAATTTAGAGCCATTAGCCTTACCAAAGATTTGCTCCTCCTGTATTTCTATGGACTCACCTAACAGCCTGCATTTGGAGAGGGGGTGAGACTCTCTTGGAGGGTGGCTGTGGGGGACTGTTCTGATGAGCACTCCTGCTTCTAACTGTATCATAATCTCTAAACTAGTCTGCTTCCTTCTAAAATGGTGGAGGACTACCCTATTCCATCAGGAATGTTGAAGAACAATTCAACTGTCATGTCCCAATGCATTCTTAACTGAAGGATGCACCAACTTCAGAGGGCTTAGATTTATACATGGACCTCTTCTGCTGACAGAACCCTCTTTTGTCAGCTGATCTCAGAGGCCCGCTGACCGTTTCATCCTCCAGCAGAACTACTCTGGTGGAGAATGTCTCTTGGCAGAATGGCTAAAGAAGCTGTGGACAGAGATGGCATGAAGGAGGAACTGAGTTACGGCTGATCTATTCCATACTTTCTCCAGTCCATGGGAACAGCCCAACACAGGCACACTATTAGATTGGGATGAAGGTGTCCATAAGTGATTCAATATCCTCTATCTTTCAGCTGGGATTTATCGCACTGCTTCAGCCAGGCCTATGGTCAGCTGGGTTAGATCCTGGTCCTCTTGGCTGCTTAGGATTACACCTCCAGTTGGTTTCTGTACAAGGAATTGAAGGCAGGTGGCATCATTTCGTTCTTCCCGTTGGGCAGCAAATTACCTCGAGCTGGCTGTAGGGTTTTTTTTGTTGGTTTGTAACTATGCCTTGGCATTGCTTACTGGAATGGATGAGCACCATTCTTCCCATTGGGAAGCAAATTATCTCGAGCTGGCTGTAGGTTTTTTTTGTTGGTTTGTAACTATGTCTTGGCATTGCTTACTGGAATGGATGAGCAGGAGACTGTACGATCTAGCGTGTTGGAGACACTCAAGAAGAGAGAAACAAAGGTTATCCTTCCTCCTTCCCACCTCTGGTTTCTATCCTCTCTGGTTTTAATTGTACTTGACCATTAAAAACACCATTAAGGCTTGTAGGATCAATTCTTACCATGCTCTTGGTACTTGTGGTGGTGGGGATACTTAAAAAAAAAATCAAATAAGTACTTTAAAAAAAATCAAATAAGTCTTTTCATTGACTGGTATCCCCTTGGATGATTTTAGCTGTGAGCATGTCAGGTGTTGACAAATCCTAACCACCTGGAAAGAAGGTCAGACTGAGACAGCCTGATTGGCCGAAAGCCACCTAGTGAGTTTATGGGCTCAGAGGGGACTGAGAATGCAGGTCACCCAAGTCCTAGCTCAGCACCACAATGAGTACCACTAGGGTAGATCCTAGGTTTGAGGGGTGATCTGTGATGGAGTTAGATCCATTAAACTTGCAGGTGTAGCCACCACTTTAATGTCAATTCCTCCATAACACAATTACTCTGGAGTAAAAAAAAAGCGATAGACTCCGCTAGGTGAAGGGAAAATGTTCAGATCTATAGCTGATGCTTTGATTTAATGCTTTAATTTACTTCTTGTCCTGATATTAGATGATCTGGTCCTTAGAGGGGAGTTGAGAGACCATGGGCCTGTCCAGACTGGCGGTTTTGGGTGTGCAGGTGGATCGGGCTACAAAGAGTCTGTTGAGGAGTTTTGTGTGTGTGTGTGGATGGGGCTACAAAGGGTCTGTTGAGGTCTGATGGGAAGGTGTGATATGCCATTTGGCATGCTCCTCCTGTCCAAACAGCAAACGACCCTTTGTAGCCTGATCAGCAGTCAATTAAGCACTTCCCCTTTTTGTCTGTGGAGGGTCAGGGGAAGTGAATTCCCCCCCTATTGGTCTTCTCTCCCTCTGTCAGTGCCATTCTGTTTTCTCCCTTTTCCTCCCTCCCTGTTTTCCTTCCCTCATTCTCCTTCCACTTTCTCATACTCTCCCTCAGAATCTGCAGCTGCCGGAGTCTGCTATCTTCCATCTAAACAATAAGCATACCAAAAAGAATGCATGCCCTACCACTGGGCTAGAAAGGCGTGTGACAGCCTTCCAAGGGGAAATATGACTCAATTGAAGTAGAAATGCATGCAGACCCAATCCTCCTCCTCCTCCAATCCAAAGCATGCCATCAGGATCCATATATCATATCTGTATTCCTATATGGTCATCATCTATGTTTTAGTGTCAGCGTCCCCTGTCCTAAACCCTGTCCTTTGTAAAACCAAACCTCCTGTGACAAAAAGGAGAACTGAACCATTTTACTTCCTTTCAAACCATGGGCTTAGCAAATGCTGACCGGTTGGTGTGTTGCAAAAAAAAAAAAAAAAAAATTAGTACTAAAAACCCATGTAACTTTGAAACAAAACAGTTATTGGACTGGCAGAAGAGTTAATGAACTTGTGTGGAAAGGTTCAGCATGTGGTGACCCCTATGGTAATATTTCATATAAGGTTCCTGTTGGGAGAGAAATCAAATTTCAGCCGTGAACGTGATTGACAGGTGGAAGCAAGGGAGAGAAAGACATCTGGCCAGATGGGGAACGTGGGGAAAGGAAGGATTGACGTGGGAAGTTTCTGTGTAATATTAGGAATAATAAGCTTAGATATGAAAAGTCCAATCATTGCCCTCTCTAGAGGCAAGCTTAACAGTAAACTCCCCGTTCTGTATGTCTTGAACTGAACTAGCTTTTAAAGAAGACTACACAATGTGACAGTCGGGTGACCAGCACTTTCCTAACTTGACTTTGCTGCCAAAATTTGAAAAAAGACATTGTGTATCTGTTTTATCTCCTTGACACAAGGAGCTGTGATATGACAGATGAACATTATCGTTAAAAAACAAACTCTACTGATTTTAGCTGGAATATACAAATAATATAAAACAAACCATCCCTCTTTTATGTTGAGCAATGCAAGCAGATGATTGGTGCCTATCGCTCTCGTTTTTCTTTAAAATAAACACAAATTTTGTGGCTAAAATGTAAAAGATGTGTGATGTATAAAGTGATTACCAGTTTTATTCTGTAATCTTTACGCTTACAAATTGGCTAACTTAAA